TAAAGATAGCGTTTGGCAAAGTAAGTATTTATCAATAATTTTTGGTTTTATGAGAGCTTTCTCTAAAGCTATGGCATTATGTATCTTGAGAAATGTGACCAGTTCACTCTTCATCAGAAAAGATTAACAGCAAAAGTTGATCCTTTCGCAAGCAAAAATTACAGTTGCCACAACTGAAATTTCAATCGCAATAGCATAAATCTTTTGATCTGTAATGAGACAGTTTGATACAATTTCATTTTCATGAGCCTGCATCCGCTACTTCTGGTCATGCAGATTCCGTACTTGGTACGGATTGAGTTTAAATGCGCTATCAGGGTAAAACGGAGTATTCTTGTTTATTCTTTCAATGATGAAGTAAAGCAATGGATATTCTGAAAGAATTTTTTAGGCGAGGAGTCAGATGAACAACAACTTAGGAGCCACTTGTGATTTATGACTATTCTGCATTGTCCGTCTCTTTTGTACTGTACCTATGTTGTAAACATAAATTTACAGGGTTTTACAGTAGAGACAAATCCTTAACATAGGGCTGAACTTTATATCCTACGTGGACACATTTCTTTTAGTTCTATCAAGCTGATGGTAAAATGCAAACTAAATTCTGCAGCTCACTGCAGGTAAGTCAATAATGTGTTCCATCATCTATACTACGAATAGCCAGCCTCTCTGACCTACAATTTAATTAGCAGTAATAACATGGAGGATGCAGGACACTGCCTCATCAAGACTGGTAGACAAAGTGAGTAGGTATCAATGCTTTCTGTTTTATGAGAGATGCCTTTCAAGCGCAGGCATTCCTTATCTTGAGAAATGTGAGCAGTTTACGCTTCATCCAAGGAGATAGTCAGTGGATGTTGAGGCTGTAGCAGCCAAAAATTTTAGTCGCCCGGACTAAAATTTTTGGCTGTTTGAGTCTCGATTGATAGTTTTCAATAACCTGCCAGCTCCGGTCATCAAAAGTCCACATCTAATGAGTTTTAATGCACTTGCAGGGTGTGCCAGAGAATTAATTCTTGTATCCAATTTCCGTGCTAAATGGAACAGTTAATTTTCTGTCGCACTCTGGTAATGGGTAAATTTGTCAGGCGAGGACTCAGATAATCTAGAGGTCAAGAGGCACTGACGTTTTACATTGAACAGCCGCTCTGCATTATCTCGTATATGCGGTAAGCAGTGACGGAAATTGCATCTCCAGGTATTGCAAATTTTAGCGAATGTACAGAGAGGTTATCATCAAGTATATCCTGCATTAGTTAGCACCTCAATTTTATCAAACCAATGAAGTAGTAGCACAGATACATACCTTCTGCACGGGTCAATATGAAAGACCTTGATTTGAAGAATTTTATCCAAACACAGGCTTTGATGATTCAATCAACTTCTGACCCAGAGTCAAAGAGACTTGATAATAATCAAATTAAAGCTAATGCTTGAAGTCAAGTATCTTTGATTTTGACACATTGAGTTGATTTCATTGAAGTGGTTTCGTTTCAGTGAAGCGTAGCTTCTTAAAGTGGACACATAACCAAGACTAACAGGTGAATGCGTTAACCGCTTTTCCAATATAAAGCATCACAAGTCTGCGAAGACATACAGGCTTTAGGCACCAGTTACATGATACACTGAGAAAACACACATCAACTCCTGAGGAGGTAGGCTGCCTAGCTGCTAGCAAAATTTTAGTAGAATGTGGAATAGCTGATTCATTCCCACCGATTGAGATCCCCGACACACATCATCGTTTTGAGGGAAAGGATGATTTTCTGGTGGAAAGTTGCTGAATCTGATTAACGAGAAATAGTATCTAGGACTCACTATAGTGGGATATCATCAATCATTCATGAACAATTACTTGATTACTTGAAAAGATCATTAGATCAGGGCCGCTGGGAAGAAATGGCAGGTTGATCCGAGTACTTACAGTGACAACTAAATTTATCAAGGGTGCGGGAATCATGAAAGGGTTATATAGAAATGGATCCAGATATCTTTGGCTAGGATAAAATAGATAGAAACATACATCGATTAATCTATCTTAATTTTATTATTTAGATATTTAAAACCGTATAATGACATAAACATAACCTGAAATGTAACTTCTGGAGTCGGCGCTCACCATCCATCGCGCGGTTCTACAAGTTGTTTTCAAATTCTAACTGTTTTGAAAAATTGAAGGACCCGCTCCTTCTTTCAATAAATTCTCCTTTCGACGCCCATATAAGTTCGCAAACTTTTCAAAGGTTTAATCCTTGGAGTTTACAGATTCTAATTATACCCAGTTTGATGGGTTTTATGCTACCCTTACCTCCACAGCTATGCCAACAGATCCGACTTTCAGAACAGCAATAAACGACTTAATTATTAAATGTTCTCGATTACACCTCAACAATACGAAATTTCCAAAAAATCAGTTTTAGTTTATGTAACGCTGATTCAAAATATCTGTACTTTTATGGGGTTTTTTTCTACGGTTATGCTGTAAAGTCTGTGAACTAAACACGATGGTCTCTCCCGCGGCCGGGCGTTTTCGCGGGTCTCGAATCTGCCCCGAATCTGCTCATCTGCTCAGCGATTGGTCAATCCGTCATCGTCATGTTTTGGGGTCCAAAATTTGTCGTTAAGGCTAAATAACTTTTTTAATATTTAACTAAAATTAAAAAACGAGGGCATTACGAGTAGAGCTGAGCATACTCTACCCAAATATTATAGGGTTTTTGGGGTTTACTCTACGACCTAATTAGCAGGAGAGCTAAATGGACCACAAACCGTGCAGAATAGCCCGGTATCGTTGTTTCGTATATAACTACTTAGGCAGCAGCCACCCGTCGGGTTTTTTTTTTTTTTTTTTTTTTTTTTTTTTCCATTTGGTGTCGTCATTTTTTAGGGGGAGTTTTTTGGATTTGGCCGGGGTGGCTACCGCCACCTAGAACATTTCACAGCATTTTGACCATTTAGTAAGCATACATATGAGGATGATTATGCCATACATTATTTCTCTTCTCCCTTTTTCCTTATTTCATCTAAAATAATCTGGAAATTGGAAACGTCGCACTGGCTATTGTCACAGCCGCGGATCCAGAGTGAGTTGAAGGGGGGGAGGCATTTGCTGATGTCCAAAGGGGAGTCTAGAGGGATACCCTTTGACCAAGGGGGGTCTACCGCGGAAAATTTTCAATAAAAATAGCCCCTCCCAGATTGAATTTTAAGCAGTTTCAGCATACAACCTGTGTTTTATTTGAAAGTTGAAAATTGACGAATACATACTACCTCTTTTAGAGAAATTTTATTTTGGTATACCGCCTATCAATTTCTGCAGTCTTACAACCTTTGGTCAAGGAATCTTTGTTAAATAGTTCTAAAGTTCTGTCTTGACATTATTTCAGTAAATTTTCAGGAGCACTTTCTTTCTCTCCTTCTTCTTTCCCCTTTCCTCCTTTTTCCTTCCGTTCCCCTTTTTTTGGCCTGAGGGGGGAGGGGGGGCTGCCACTATGCCCCCCTCCCTGTATAAGCCACTGGATTGGCATGCTTGTTACTCTTGTCTTGGATGGCTTCTGTGATTTGGTAGTATTCATATCATCACTATTTAATGACAAAAAATAATTCTGACCATTAGATTTTGGATGACAGAACAAAAGACAATAATCGGTAAAAGACAACTATAACAGTAGAATATAAAATTAATGTAAAATCCCCTCTTTTTGTAAAAGCTCCCAATCTTTCAAGACATGTCTTTAAAAAACAAGGGGGAAGAGAAATAATGTATGGCATATTCATGCTTATTTGTATGCTTACTAAATGGTCAAAATGCAGTAAAATGTTAAAAAATTACTGAGATCAGCGTGAAACAGGCTGCTACCGGGCGCAGCTGCGAGACTCTGGCCCGAGGCTCATGTACGGACCCTGGCGCGTCAACTTGAAAACAACTTAACTCCAAAACTAATCATTGCCCCAACATATTCTTTAGCTCATTTTAAAGAGAAAAACAAGGGCTATCATTTGCACATATAATAATAACATTTCGTGCGACTCCTCACATCTAAAAATTGAAAAATCCAAAATTAAAGTTTTTCAAAAAATTCGTTGAGCTAAAACTTTGTCAGAAACTAACCAACTGTCAATTTCTTATACTTCATAGAAAGGTCCTTTTTGTGCTATCATTTAAAACAAAAGTTCAACCCGATATCTGCAACCATCCAAAAGTTATGGCTCAAAGTTGATTTTTCTTTGACCTCCCCTCCCCCCAGGGGGCTGGATAAGAAATTCCGCCATTTGTGAACTTCTCTTACCTTCCTTCACAAAAGGTGAAGATATGACAAGATTCCGTTCTGGGCCCAATTCCTGTGTCAGATGCATAAGACTCGTTTGACCCCACTACACTACTAAACCATCCTGAAGACTCAACATTTGCATTTCGGCTAAATATTACCGTTTTTGGCCAAAATCAAGTGCTTCTCATGGTTGAAAGCCTCTTTTATGTTGAGTCTTCATTTTACAAAGCTTCTATGAAGTAAGAAAAGAGAGAATGAACCAGAACCAAGAATCCCCCCCCCCAGCTGCCGCCACAACCAAAAAAAGGTAGCGTAAAGAAAAAAGCAGTACCTCTGAACCAGCTTGAGTGAACCTAAAAATGTTGTCGATGAAAAGTAGTACATCTTGTCCTTCTTGATCTCGGAAATATTCAGCCACAGTGAGCCCAGTTAATGCAACTCGGGCACGTGCACCAGGGGGTTCATTCATCTGTCCGTACACTAAAGCGACCTGCACAGAATAAATGAAATGAAAATATGGAGAACCTGTAAATCTTCCTTGGGTCGCTTGTCATGCGTAGCTGAAATACATTCAAGATAAAAATTAATTTCACATTTTAGATTGGTTGCTGTCTTTAAATTATTATCCTCAATCAATTTACTATAGCAAGAAGAAAAGGGACAACGGCTTTACTTCAGTGAAATTGTATTGAAACAGCTCCATACCAAGTCAGACAGATGAACGTATTATGAATTGTTATGAATCAAAGCAGCCAAGTCTGACTTTGCTGTGGTTTATGGCACAAAATGGGTTGAATACAACTGACTGATGAGCATTTTTTAGTTGATGAATATTTCCAAAAACAAAAAAATTAGTAAAAATGCTCCTGTATTATCATAAACTATAAAAGCAGTAAAGGAGGAGTATCGTTAAGGGCCTTTTCCAGCCCCACCTGGAATTTGCTGAATGTTTCATATTTTCAAAATACTAGTCCTACGTAGACTCTACGCCAAATATTTTTCCAAATAGAGCCCATGCAAAGGTGCAACAGCGCCTCAAACCTAGGGCTGTTCTATCGGTTGACAGTAAGCTACCGAAACACTTCCGTCAAGAAAAAGTTACGATAAGAGCGCTCTTACCAATAGCAATCTGAGTTTTTGGAGCTAACGAAAATTTGCTGCTGCCATTTGTACATCTATTTTGCGCGCCGCCGAGCCAGGCAATCTGACAAACCGACACATGGGGCAACGATGCATTGAGTGCGAGCTCTCAAAACTCCGATAAGGAGGGCTCTGTTAACAATATCATCGCCACTGTCAGCACTGCCACCAGTTTCGGTAAGAGACGATACCGATAGCGTTCCGGCACAAATTCGTTTGAACACCTCTACTCAAACCCTAAATCCTGGCATCGATAGATAGTTATTTTCGTCAACTTTATCAACTGTTATCACTCTTGCAGCAGAAAATTCTTATGTATTTTTGCATTCTTTCCATTTCTGGCCTTTAAGAAGGTCTCCGATGAATTTCAAGGGGCCATACGGTCCATTGTACCTATTTTTGGCCTATTTTAAGGGGTTTTTCAAATTTTACACATGTAGAAATCAATTCAAACTAAGAACTGTGTACGTCTTTGAAAAGAATGCGAAACAGTGAATAAATAAATGTCCAGTGAAACTTTTTACTACGTTTCCAAATTTTCAAGCGAAAAATCTTCCCAAGCGCCAAAAATGGCCAAAATTTGATAAATTGTCACGCTTAGGGTTCAAGAGAGTGGGGTAAAACTTTTATATTGACGCACGTAACAGCTCTTACCCATATATACAACACATCAAAAAAGTATACTTCTACCTGGATTCCCACGCTGTGAAAGTTGACTGGGATGTCGTGTTCAGCAGCCTTTTTTCCGTTGAAGGTAGCTCTTATGAATGTTTTTCGACCTTAGTCACTCTTCGTAGGTGTGTACAAGGTGTATTTCTCTGCATACTTTTCATTTCGGGCCATAAAAATGGCTTCATATGAATTTTAAAAGGCCTAACAGTCCATTGTTTCCAATTTTTACACATTTTTAGAGGTTTTTTCGAATTTACATGTGTGAAACATAATTTGATCTAAAAACCGTGTACTTCATTTTCGGAAAGAATGTAAAAAAATACATGCATGATGTGCTTTGTAACTTTTCCCTATGTGGCCGAATTTTCGAGGAAAATCGTCCTGAAGTGCCAAAAAATTAGATTTAAAATCTTGTCGATCAAAGGTTCTCGGAAGTAAATTATGACTTACATGCGGATTGTGGGACACTTTGCCCAGGCAGTTTTTCTGTTGTTTGGTATTCGGCCTGTAGCAGGCATCTTGAGAACCAAGGACTATCTTGAGGTTACACTGGAGGAACTGGTGAGATGGAGGGAAGGATAAGGTGGAAGCACCTTGAAGGTCCGTTGCATCACGTTCATCTGAGCCATTACATGTTTGGTGAGACGCATTGCAATTTTCCATATTGGATACGTTATTTGTAGTGAAAGAAAACTTAAAATTCACTTCCTAGAATCTTCGACGTGAGGATTAATCCAATTTTTGGCATTATTGGCACTTCAGCACGATTTTTCTCAAAAATTCGGCAACATAGGCAAAAGTTACGAAGCACGGTATGCATGTATTTTTTTACATTCTTTCCCAAAATGTGCATGGTTTTGAGATTAAATTAGGTTTAACACATGCTGACTTTAAAAACCCCTGAAAATTGGTAAAAATTGGCAACAACCAACCGTAAGGTCTTTTAAAATTCATAGGAAGCCATTATTATGGCCCGAAATGAAGAGTACAGAGAAATACATATTGTACAAACCTATGGAGGGTGACTAAGGTCCAAAGACATTCATGAGAGCTACCGTCAGGTAAAAAAAGGCTGCTAAATCTAGGTGGGGCCGGAAAAGAACCTTACCAATACTCCTCCTTTCCCCAGCTGCACTTGGCAACATTGCTGCTGTTGCCGATGGCAACTGAAATCAGACTCTCAGAATTACAGGCAGTCCGAATCTTGCGAGGGAAGGAGTAAGATGAGTCCTCAAATTTTGACTTTCACCAAAACTTGCTTGCTTCTGCTCTCTTGTGCTTCTGAAGCCTTGATGACCATCTGGACCCAACTTCATTGCAACTGACAATTTCTTAGCTGAATGTTCATTCCACACAACCCTGAAGAGTCCGAAGGATGAAGATGGGAATGCAAACACAGACTTGACCTTCATCTTGGCATGAGCCACAAAGAATTTACAGGGTGTCAACTGAAATTTTATTAAGGATTTTTCTGATTTTTCCTTATATTTTGAATGTAATTTTCTGATTTTTTGCGCAAATGAATTAACACTGGTCGGATTTAGGCCATACAACATATTTAGTGAATTGATCCAAATTTCACTTTTGCAAGTACTAAACTGCATTAAGTTAGAGAATGCTTAACGCACTCGGAATTTCCTTATTCATGACAGGGATTCCTGAAGTTTTCCTGATGATATTATCTGAATTTCTCTGACGGTAGACACCTGGACATAGAAATTGCGCCCACTTGAAGACGAACACATGTTTGTTCTAGAGAGCATACTACATACGATTGCATGCACGTATGCGTCTATCAGGGAAAAGGAAAATTTCGGGAACTGAAAAATAAGAATATTCTATACTTCTGAGGATCAAAAATGAATTTTTGATAATTCAGTGTTTGAAATTTTTTGTTGCAAACCTGAAGAATTTGTGACGGCTTTTCCTATATGATCACAAAAGAATTACCGGATTATCATTTAATAATCATATTGAATACTTGTGCAGTCGGTTCTTCCTGACTCACAAACATTAACTGACTCCTAAGATTTGATTCTATGGGAATCTTTTCAGAATGAATAAACCCAACTCAGATTTTAAAAGTAGTACAAAGATGTACCTTGGATGACTTATCCTTCAAAGAAATGACACCTGTTTCAATCATTTCATGATATAAGTCATTCCCTTCACGGGTCCGTTCTCCGACACCAGCAAAGACTGAGTAACCTCCATGGGCTTTGGCAATGTTGTTAATTAGTTCCATAATCAGTACAGTTTTTCCAACACCAGCGCCACCGAATAGACCTGCAAAAACACAATGAAACGAGTCCAGTGATTTCATGGATTCAAATATTCAAGTTTTTTATGGCTTCCCCTTTACAAACGCCCATATCAGATTTAGAGAAGGATTGGGAGGCGGGTCAGCAGGCGAAATTATTGCACGAGCGATTTCCAGTCCGAGTCTGGGTGTGCACCCTCCAGTCTAAGTCTACCCTTCGCGCGTATCGATATCGTCTCTGCCCATTAAGTTCACCCTCTAAACGAGTCCGTAGGCAGGCTCATAGCAGGTAGACTCTCCAGAGAGAGTCTGGGTCAAAGAGCCTCGCCAAGTTTCGCCCCTTCTTTTTATACCCGAGTTGGTCAACCGGACAGTGCTCAAATGAAAGCCTATGGTAAGGCAAACTTCCATGCAAAGTTTCAACTTGAAGTGACCCCTGGTTTAGGCTGTACAGCGTTGCCAATTTTCCCGTTTCATGTGCTAAAATCAACGATATTGGACTATTAGTCCGGTGCATAAGTAGACTAGTACACCCAAGTAGGTCAACGGGACAGGGCTCAAACGAAAGCTCATGGTAAGGCAAACTTCCAGGAAAAGTTTCAACTTGAAGTGAAACCTCGTTTAGGCTGTACAGCGTCGCCAATTTTTCATTTTTATGCGCTGTACTCACGAAATACTGAATCATCATGGTTCAACAGACTATTATACCCGAGTTGGTCAACGAGAAAAGGCTCAAACGAAAGCTTATGGTAAGGCAAACTTCCGGGAAAAGTTTCAACTTGAAGTGAAACCTCGTTTAGGCTGTACAGCGTTGCCAATTTTCCATTTTTATGTGCCAAAATGAAGGAATTCGGGACTAATAGTCCAATGCATCATAATTAAACAGACTAGTGCATCGGTCTACGAGCTGAATACTACCCTGAGATCGAATAGAAGGGTAACTAAAGGCCATCGTGAACTTTTTGAAGCGGTGTTGCCAATTTATTATTAATTTTTTTAACTTAAAATTAGGGTTTTTCCGAGATTTTTGGCGGAAAACGTACCTTCATGGGCTACAACTTTGATGAGTATGGGCTAAACATTACGACTCGATAGTAAATGAACGCTACAGACGGAGAAAATTGAATTCCGAACGCAATGTTGCCAAGTATATTTTAATTTCTTACAAAAATTAAAGATTTTCTCACGTGAATGCTTCGATAAACGTAATTTCCAAGGCATTCATGTCATTCTGATGACTGAATATCACCATGGCATAGTACATGATTTCTGTTCAAGGCAAAAATGGAAAGTTCAGAGTAACGTTGCCAAATTGTGTGCATTTATTTTACGACGAGACGCCTCCCAAAAAGAGAAAACCACTAAAATCACGTTTTGCCTCTCAAAAATATCTTCAAATTGGAGCTGAAAAACTCATCATTTTATCGCAAAAATGCCTTAAAATGGTAATAAAGACTTAAAAATTCGTCTTCGCTATTAAAAATCAATCCGATATTATTGAATGGTAAAAGTTTGCCTACCTTGTATGGTGAAGGAACCTGAAAGCACGGTTATTCGCACGGAAAGCTCAAAAATATTGGCTTCTCGTCGTAAAATAAATGCACACAATTTGGCCACGTTACTCTGAACTTTCCATTTTGGCCTTGAACAGAAATCATGTACTATGCCATGGTGATATTCAGTCATCAGAATGACATGAATGCCTTGGAAATTACGTTTATCGAGGCATTCACGTGAGAAAATCTTTAATTTTTGTGAGAAATTAAAATGTACTTGGCAACATTGCGTTCGGAATTCAATTTTCTCCGTCTGTAGCGTTCATTTACTATCGAGTCGTAATGTTTAGCCCATACTCATCAAAGTTGTAGCCCATGAAGGTACGTTTTCCGCCAAAAATCTCGGAAAAACCCTAATTTTATGTTAAAAAAATTAATAATAAATTGGCAACACTGCTTCAAAAAGTTCACGATGGCAATAGTTACCCTTCTATTCGATCTCAGGGTAGTATTCAGCTCGTAGACCGATGCACTAGTCTGTTTAATTATGATGCATTGGACTATTAGTCCCGAATTCCTTCATTTTGGCACATAAAAATGGAAAATTGTACAGCCTAAACGAGGTTTCACTTCAAGTTGAAACTTTTCCCGGAAGTTTGCCTTACCATAAGCTTTCGTTTGAGCCTTGTCTCGTTGACCAACTCGGGTATAATAGTCTGTTGAACCATGATGATTCAGTATTTCGTGAGTACAGCGCATAAAAATGAAAAATTGGCGACGCTGTACAGCCTAAACGAGGTTTCACTTCAAGTTGAAACTTTTCCCGGAAGTTTGCCTTACCATAAGCTTTCGTTTGAGCCTTGTCTCGATGACCAACTCGGGTATAATAGTCTGTTGAACCATGATGATTCAGTATTTCGTGAGTTTAGCGCATAAAAATGGAAAATTGGCAACGCTGTACAGCCTAAACGAGGTTTCACTTCAAGTTGAAACTTTTCCTGGAAGTTTGCCTTACCATGAGCTTTCGTTTGAGCTTTGTCCCGTTGACCAACTTGGGTGTACTAATCTACTTATGCACCGGACTAATAGTCCAATATCCTTGATTTTAGCACATGATACGGGAAAATTGGCAAGGCTGTACAGCCTAAACCAGGGGTCACTTCAAGTTGAAACTTTGCATGGAAGTTTGCCTTACCATAGGCTTTCATTTGAGCACCGTCCGGTTGACCAACTCGGGTATAAAAAAAAAGGGGCGAAAAAACACCACTTTTTGGCGAGGCTCTTTGCAAGGGCACCGTTTGGCCGCCGAATTTGGCTTAAAAATAGGGTGGAGCGGGTTTGGCTATTTTTACTTTCTCGTATCCTCACGGGTAGAGGAAGTATTGTCATCATCCAAGAAAAAAAGAAAAAATTTGATATTTCATCATTTCTAGACGTTGAAAGGAGCCTGGAGTCAAAATAACCGTACTTCAGAAAATGTGTCCGTCCGTCTGTCCGGCGTCCCTTAAACCTGTTTACAGCCATACCTCACAATCTATTGGTTCAATCTCATTCAAAAGGGGTGTATGCAAAATCGGCAAAATTTCCCCCCTCCTGGATTTTGACCAATTTTCAACATGTTATACCTTACTATAGGATACGCCTTTAACCAAAATTTCAAGGCCTGAAATGAATTTCTTTTCGTGTGGCAGCGTTGCCAAGTTGAAGCCATTGAGTTCCATATCTTCTGAACGAAAAAAGATATTGAGGTGTGGTTTGAGCTAAAATTCTTCAAAATAGAAATATGTATCCATTTGGATCATTTTGGTAATTTAAGATTGCAATGATGCCATTTTCCACACTTTCTTAGGGGTCAATTATTTTTCAACCATGGTACATCGTCAAATGCCGGATTCTCGATTTGAACAAAAAGCTATTCATTTTGTTTGTCGTACGTTTTCTTTGATATATTACACCTCCCAGGGAAACCAGTAGTACACGAGATGCGAGCTATCACAGTTTATGCTCCGCGTGCCGCTCGAAGTCGTCTGCACACTCCCTCCCTTAAGCTTCACGAGGTCATTCCTAAGTATTTTTGGCTTACTTCCGTTTCTGGCCTTAGAAAAGGCCTCCGATGAATTTTGAGGGGCCTCGCAGTCCATTGTTGCCATTTTTGGCCTGTAGTTAGGGTTTTTTCCAATTTTACTTGCGTGAAACTTGCTTCAAGCTGAAACTGTGCGAGTTTGGGGAAAGAACAGTCGTTAAAGAATAACACATTGAGAATTGGTCAAAGTCCAAGTGGGGGGAAATTTCGCCGATTTTGCATACTTCCCTCTGCATAGAAGACCGTTTCTACGCAAATCAAGTGATTGTGGGGTATGCTAAAATTTAGAAGGGCTAAGGGCAAAACAGGATTTTTATTAAATTCACATGGGAGGCTCACAGCTCACTTTGAAGGACTGAATATTTTGAAAAAATGCCTTGCATATTGTGAAGAAATGCCCTGCATATTTAAAAATGCCTTGCATATTTTGAAAAGATGCCATTCTTTGTAAACGGCATCAAGCACCACCTGGGTCATTAAGAGCCTCGCCAAAAAAGGAGTGTTTCTTCGCCCCTTTTTGAATACCCGACTTAGTCAACGGGACAATGCTCAAATGAAAGCTTATAGTAAGGCAAACTTCCAGGCAAAGTTTCAACTCAAAGTGACACCTCGTTTGGGCTGTACAGCGGTGCCAAACTCTCAGTTTTTATGTGCTAAAATAAAGATATTCTGGACTAATAGTCCAGTGAATCATAGTTAAACAGACAGTTCATCGGTTTACAGGCTGAACTCTTCTCTGAGATCGTATAGAAACGCAATCAAAGGCCATCGTGAAATTTCCGAAGCAGTGTTGCCAATTTTTAGCTTCTTTTTCCTTTTATAATATAAGATGAGGGTATTCTCGAGATTTCTGGCGAAAAACGTAGCTTTACGGGCTACAACTTTTACGAGTATGGGCTTAAACATTACCATACGATAGTAAATGATCGCTTCTTGCGGAGAAAATCGTAAATCAAAAGCAATGTTGCCAAGTTTACTTTAATTTCATAAAAAAATTAAAGATATTCTCAAGTGAATGCTCGGAAAACTTAATTTTCAAGGCTTTCTGATGACTGAATATTACCATGACATTGTACATGATTACTAATTAAGGCAAAAATGAAATTTTTAAAGCAACGTTGCCAAATTGTGTACATTTATTTTCCGCTGATACATCAATGTTTTTAAGCTTTTCGCGCGGATATTGTACTTATAGGTCCTGTCACCTTACAGTATAAGCAAAATATTACCTTACAGCACTAGGGGATTGGTTTTCATAGGAGAGGTCGAATTTTAAAGCCAATGTTTGCTAGTATATAGCATTTTTGCGATAAAATTAAGATATTTTAAAGCTCCAATTTATAAAAGTAAAACGTGATTTCTGTGGTTTTCTCTGTTCTAAGAGGCAAGAAAGTCTTATGGTAAGGCATTTATTTGTCCTTAATGCCAAAAATGGGATTTTTTTAAC